TACAGTTCTGCGCATAAGGAAAATGAATCTAACACAGATAATACAATGAAAACTTGCATTGGATAAGAATACTATTATGTGATTTCAGCAACAAGACCAGTATTTATCTTGGAATAAGAATCACCAATTGTTTATCCACAATGAACTAATAAAGCATACTATTTTTTCTATATGAGAAATTTCAACACAATATATATACTGATCTAGTCCAATAATGTATGAAAAAAATCAAATAAAAACTTTCCAATGATTAGTATATAAAGATACAACTCAAAGTTGATGCATATTTTTCTATATATCACATTTGCATAAATTTGCATGAAGATAAAATTTTCTACTTTTTTTCGGTTTACCTGAACCTCTGAACTTGAATGCTGAAGAAATCCTTCTAAGTTACAAACAAAGAATACTAGATTCCTTCAACTACAATCCCTTTTCTGTTCCTTGAACTACAATCCCTTTTCTGTTAGAAACAATATACAACCATAGATCATGGAAATAATTAGAAGTGAAGCAAATACTACCATACCAGAGAAAAGTTCTGAAAAGCTATCACCATTGCCAATTCTGATTGCACTATGTATCTACCATAACTATACCAACTTCAGAAAATCTCAGTTTTTCCAACAGTATGGATATTTCAATCAGAGGATGCATGCAGCAGGCTATTTTAAGCATATATTATAGCCCGTTATAAGCATATATTAGCATGTATAGCCCATTATTGCTTACCATATCATAGTTTCCTCCTGTGACATTGAGATTAGTGACAGGCGTAGCCATGAGCTAATCACTACTAAGCAATAATAAGAAGAATATCAACCATGGTCTGTAGTAAATGCCATATTAGCATCGACTGCTAGAGAAAAATTTGACAAAGTTCAGAATATATGTTTTATTCTAGTGTTATTGAACCATAGATCAGCAATCAGCTAATGTGCCTTGTAAAATTTCGTAAGTAGTCAAAGACAGAGCTGGAGTTCAATGCTCCCATTGCTCCAAATTTTGGTGAGTGCCATTGTAAATGTTGGGATGAATAAACAATGATCTAATCGCTACATATAAACTTTGAAATTTCGCTTCTTGTCTACCCACTTAACTAGCATATCATTATATAAACTGAGCTGGTATTAATCTAGCAACAAAAAAACAAGAAACAAAAACAATGAAGAACAGACAACTTCACCTTCTGTTATAGCTAGGAATATTTGTGTTCCCCCTTTGGTTGCAACCAAAGGCCAAATCTCGTCATACACAAAACAAAAATTGCTGAGATTAGTTTACGGGTTGGAGATTAGAGAGAGAGAGAGAGTTGAGGTCTGAGGAGTAGGGGAAGAGAAGGACTGGTAAAGGAACATAGCTGTTGAACCGAGGGGAGCACCGCCCTGGATCTGGCCTGAGGGAGAAGCCCCACGTACTAGCACATCTGGCCATCGCAAGCGGAACTAGTCACCAACTCACCTTTGAGCTCGTCGGGATGCGTGACGCCGCCGAGCGCTGCTGTGGGGAGGCGCCAATGTGCTGCCAAGATCTTCGCCATGGGGGTGGAGACGGTGGCTGAGAGCTCGATGACCTGGCTACAGGCCGGGAGACGGCGGCGTGGGGGCCGGCGGGTAGCGACGACTGGGGGGGAGGCGGAGGAGAAAATGGCCATTTTGCCATGTTCAAAACACGGTTTCGCTAGAATGCCATTCCGAAAACGTGATTCGATAAAATACCAATATGAAGCGTGCGTCTACCACCACTTTGCTATTTTCACCATTTTATTCATTTTCGAAAAGATTTTCTCTCCTCTACTAGGTGTTGAGACAAAATTGCCCCTTATCAACTTAGAGAACACGGTGAGAGAGGAGACAGAGAGAAGGGGCGGCGACGCCGCTATTGCCGGCCGGCGCGCCGCCTCTCCGCATCATGCGCGGCAACATCGTGCGCGTCCGCCGCGGCGGCCTTCGCATGCTTTACTCGGCGCCGGCGCCAACGCTGAGAACGGGATCGATCATCGACGAGGCCCTCTACATGATGAAGCTCCGCAAGAACGTCGTCGACTCGATGAAGGCCGACCTCTGCACCCCTGTCGATGCCGCCACCCGCGATGGTGGAGCAGAGGCGAGGGGCTAGCGCCGGCATGGTTTCGGCGGCGGCGTCGTCCATGAGGTCGTCGTCATCATGGTCGAAGTCGACCGCCTCCACATCGGTGTCCCGGCGGAGCTCCTGGCGCACCGCCAGCGTCCGCACCAACCTTCACCTGATCTTCGCCTTCCTCACCGACGACCTCAGCATCCGCGACCAGCTCCGCCCAGCGCTCCTCTACCTCTACCGCCTCGGCTTCCACGACGGCCTCAGCTTCCTTCGACGGTGTCCTCGTCGCCTCACTGACCCCGCCAGTGAGCCTCTGTTCTCCACGGCGACGGCAGCAAGCAATGCTCCCACGCTCTGCCTCAGGCGCCGCGGGCCTCGCGGCGGGCGGCCGCCTCCGCCGCGGTGCTCCCCTGCCGCAGGCGCGCTGCCGCCGCCGTCGGCCGACAGCATCCGACGGCTGGTGCTAACGCCGGAGGGTCGGGCGAAGTTGGATGCGCCGCTTCCCGACCACCGCCGCTCTGACGGCGTCCTCGAGAGAGAGGAAGAGGGGAAGAAGGGGAAAAAGAGAGGTGAGAGAGTATGACCGGTGGGGCCCACGTTAGGGGTATTTTGGTCTAGGGAAAGCATTCCAGTGAAAAATGATTTCGAAAATACACAAAATGGCTAAAATGGCAAAGTGGCGGTGAGCACACGTTTTATATTGGTATTTTAGCGAAACGTGTTTTTGAGATGGCATTCTAGCGAAACCGCTTCTTGAACGTGGCTAAATGTCTATTTTCTTGAGGCGGAGGGACCAGTGTGTATAGGGGAGGGGAGAGGATGGGGTGGCGGCGTTGAGCGGTCTGGGGAGTGGGGGGGGAGTGGGGACTGGGAGTGGGAGGGTAAGAGTCCAAGAGATGAGCACTTTAATTAGTTGGCTGATGACTGATGAGATTATCCTACTTGAGCAGAGCCCGCCAATACCAATTTCACCAGTTCCAAAATTTCTCTCACCCCGCCCTGTCTCCAAAATTTCGAGCTTAGTTGTAGATAGATTTTTACAACTAAAATTCTGTTTTTGGAATTCCTAATTTGATTTTAAGGTGAAAATATATTTTTATTTCCAATATATATCTTAAATGGCATTGTTGCAAATAGTAGTCACTGAAGGGAGTACAAGGGAGAAAAACGAGTGGCTTATCGCCTTCTCGGCATGGCTAGGGCAGCTCCACCGCCGCCGACGCGGCCTTCCTCCGACCGCATTCGCTTGCCTCTTTCCCTTTCACTTGCAAGGCCGCATTCGCTTGCTGTTTTCCCGTTCACCTACAAGGTCGCCTCAGCATAGACACGACATCTGCAAGGTCGTGATGGCTACAGTCTTCATGGGCGACGAGAGGAACATGAGATGGGAGTCGGGGAGACGCTGCTAAACTCGGCTGCGAGTTGGCGCCATTACTCCCTCACCACCGCCGACATCCTCATTGCCCATCCGTCCAGTGGCCCATGGCCTCCATTGCTCCTCCAAAAGAGTTCCTTCGCGGCCCTTGCCATCGCCTTTGGACTTCGGTGCCCGACGGACTACGAGCTCCATCAGCCATAGCAACGGATGGTTGGATTTGCTTCCTACTACACCACTACCATAACCAATGGGGTTACAACTAAAGGTCTATTTTAGTTTGTGTCGAGTATGTGTACGTAGTCGATTACAGTTTAGGGTTTGGAGTTATACTAGGTGTTAGAAATAGAGTAAGAGTCGGACTCTATCCTACTATCTCTCTTAAACAGATGGGCAAATCTGCTGTAACTGCACATAATGACTAGATTGCTCACCACCTTCGCCAGTGCCATTGATCAGGGTAGATAAGGAGAACATCGGTGACGATACACGCCTTTGATGCAACGAGCGTGTGCTGCACGGGAGCACCTAGTAATGAAAATATTAGAATGAAGCACACGGCCGACCTCCAAACATACGTAGTTTGTCATTTAGATACTAAACTAAATGTATTTTTAGGTCTACGAACTTGTCTTCGGTGTCATACAGGTGCAAGCGGGCTCCAACCGCTCTTTGCATTGACATGGCATACCATTGTTGGTTTTTTTATTTTTTAGATCTTTTTATTTTTTTCATTTTATTAATAGACATTTCTAAAAAATATTTCCAAATCTGAACCTTTTGACCACGCGCACACACAGCTGACCTGCCACGCCAGGGTAGGAGGGGAGGTTTTTGGGGGGAGGGGGGTTTCCTCAAGGCTTAGAGGGATGGCCGTAGGTGGCGGAGGACGCAGTGGGCGGTGGACTTCGGCGGGCGGTGAGGCAGCGGCGCCATCGAAGCCGCAGGGATGAAGGAGGGCGGTGGGCCAGCGTCGGCGGCGGGGCAAAGCAAGCGTGCGATTAGGAGGCGGCGGCCGGTGGTGGCGGATCCGATGGCAGGGAGCCGCCGGAGACGGGGAAGATGGCGTGGCAGGGACATCTCCCCATCACCACCTTGAGAAGAAAGAGAGGTGGGAAGGAGGAGCGGGGAGGCGGAGGAGCCTCGCTAGGGGACCTCACTGGCGCTGTTGACTCCTTCCGACCAGCCGACGAGGCAGGCGGCAGCGCGGTGGGGCAGTGGTGGCGGTGGATTGGAATGCTCGAGGAAGCGAGGGGAACGGGAGAAGAAGAGGTAGGGTTGAGTGCTTGCATGAATCTTAAAGCATATCTGATGGTCCAAAATTCGAATGATAGAAGGTGAGATTTTCTGTGACAAGATGTGTAGCAAATCAAATTCATTCAATCCTCTTTTATCTAAGTCCTACCACTGGCGCCAAAGTCTTACTCCATATGGCGGTAAATCGAATTCTTCTAGTGAATTTCCCGCGCCCAATTTTTTCTTTGGCGCCAAATCTCTGCATATGGCGCCAAATCCATCCCAGGGCGCGCCTAATCTCTCCTGAAATAACTCCTCCCAGCACCAATGGTCTCTTCAGCCCCTTCTCCTCCCCTGACTCCCTGAGAGTCCATGCAACCATGCCCAGTTTCCTCCACGCGCTTGCTCTAGCTGGCCCTTCCACTGCCTGTGTCCACCACTCCCAGGCGCCAACACCCGCTTCCTATGACAGCGTCGAGACGGAGAAGGGGCAGCGCCTGGCAGCCAACAGGAGGGCGGAGGCGGGGGCGCGGCGCGGAGCGCCGCCGGCTGCGGAGCGCGGTCGCGTGGAGCGGTGTTGCTTCGCAGCGGCCGGGCGCGAAAGCACTGGCTGCAGCAGCATGGTAGCTGGCTATTTGGCGAGCATAGCATAAGCAGCAGCCAGCGAGAGGTAAATAGGTGAGCTTGCCACAATTGAAATCTGAACAATTAGATTTGGAAGTTCAATGCATGATCTATAGAAGATCTTTTTTTTTTTTTTTTTTGCAGCCAAGCAGCAGCCAGCGTCCTGACTCCAGAGCAATGTTTCTCGATTTATTTTGGACTGGGAATGGTTTGAGAATGGGTTCAACCCATTTTCTTGTGTTTGTTTTGAACCGATTTGGATTATCTTTGGTACTTGCCGAGTAGGTTTGGGTTTTGGGAGTGATTAATTTGTTTGGAGTGGTTTGGTAGTATGCTATACAGACAAATTGTTCTGAAGTGTGTCGTTAAATTAGTCTAGAAAACTATTAGGTGATGATTTAATTTGCCTCCGTTTTGTGCATACTGTATATGTAAACTTTGATCATCATACCTATAGGCTGATATTTATCATGTAAGCATTTCTTTCATCTTATCTACCGCAGTCGTGTAGACAATTTGCTGAAAATATTTCAAACAATGTGCAGCAAGACAGCAAGATGGTGGATAGATATTGACTAGTAAAAACTAGCCCATGAAGTATGCAATACTATGTCGGACAATTTGTTTATATATACATCAGAATCAGAACTTCCTTGCATTATTTATTTTACTTACCTGAACCCATGAACTGAATTCCTGAAAATGTTTTTAGTTACAAATGAAGAACACTGAGGTTTGACTGAAAAATACAATCTCAGACTCATCAGTTGTGGAATTAGATCAGTGTGTTTTCCAATTGATGTTTACTTTGGCAATTTGGTACATTTCGATGAAATATGATGTTTCCATTTTTTTTAGTGAATAGTTTGGATATATTTATTCTTCTTCATACTAGTCATGGATGTCTCAGTTTTTATTGGAAATTTGGAAACTATCCTTTGCAATTCAATAGGTGCACCATATACGCTTCAATACAATTTAAAGTTGGTAATTCCTAACATGTGTATCATACATTGTTCTTTGGTGCAAACCATAAGCCAACTGCAAGATATATGTTGAAATATTTAAAATAAGATAATGAATCACTAAATCTAAAGCTTACTGATTCATACTGTGAGATTTACTCTGCACAAGCTTGAATTACATGATAAATAGCTTATTTGTGATGGTTCAGTTGTTACTTGTGTACTCTGTTTTTTTCGCACATGATTATAACACGGATGAAGAAACAAGTATTAAGTATTTAAATGTTGACTCAGAAAAAAAGTAGGATCTCAAATATTGCCATCTATATATAAACAATTAGTACAAAAATCAAAGCAAAATATAGTTTATTTCCATTTATCATGCCCATAAATTGATATTTTTATTTTATAAGGTTGAAATATGATACTAGACGCAAAGGACATGTAGAAGTAATTAAAAAAAAGGCTATGCCACCAATTAGTGGTTATCATGCAACTGTGCGATCCTGGATCCATTGTCTTGGCAACACATCCTTTGTAACACGTATTTTGTGCTCCTACCTCACTTTTCTAGAGCTATATTTTACATCTTTTGAAAATGTGTTACAAGCAGATGTTGTAGCACATAGTATGTGTTCCTGTGATATTGCCGTGTAACACATCCTAGTATGTGTTACAGGGTTTGTTACAATATACCTGTCCTGCAGTAGTGGCCAATTCGCGTATGCTGGCTTCACCGAGGGGAGAGAGGGAGGGCATCCCAGGAGGCATTTGCTTACTGGTGGGGCTGCCTGAAGTGCCTAGGCCCAGTGGAAGTGAAAGAGAGGGAAATTTGAGAAAGAGGTGGTGTCCCGCTTTGAAAGCTGTTTGGGGATTTGACCCTAGGGTCTCGCCGAGTTGTGTTGGTGGGAAAAAAATTGCAAAATTTACAATGAGTAGAGGAGTTCATCATAAACTTTATTAATTACTAGAAAAAATACATGTGTTGTAATGGGTGAAGATGTTTTCAGTGATACAACAACTATTAGGTGATGGGCAATCGCACGGGTAAAGATCTTTTCAGTGACACAATAGCTATTAGGAGCTGAGCAATAAATAAAAATATTAGAATCGCTATACATTGTAATTTAAAAAATAATGAATATCCTTCATTGGTTTTAGACGGAAGCATATTTCTTCCTTACTTTTCAGCTTAGCCTAGTCTGATACCTCCCTCCGCCCGTCCTGCCTCTCTTCGGCCCAACCCACAAGTAGAGACGCAACTCGCATAGCCAACTGTTTGTCCTCAACCTTCAAAAACAGTCCCCGATCTTCTCATCAAATTTGGCCGAATCTCTTGTTCTCCTAAAATTGGTTGAGGGCTTTTGATCCATTCGTTCTCCTCTTTCCCTTTTTCATAAAATCAGGTAAAAAGGCCGGGGAAGCTTGCCGGTAGGCCATCAACAATGGAGCGACAAATTGAAGCTGAATTGAAAGGGAAAATCATGGGGAAAATACTAAGGAATAAGTGGGGAATCAATTTTTGCAATCAATTTTAGGAGGAAACATGTGGGAAGGTAGATCGACGTTGTGATGATGCTAGGGTTTGGCCTGGGCAGCGGCTAGAGGTGCTGCGCGTGTGCAACTGATTGGATACTACTAAGATAGATTGGATACTACTGAGATTGGACAAAAGAACCGGCAACCAAAGAAAGGGATGGATAAAAAAACTCGCACAAAAAAATTCCACGTGCAAAAAAATACAAATCTGACAAAAAAATCGACGACGAAAAAAAAGAAGACGGACAAAAATAAAAGCAAACCGGAAGTGATAAAGACAAATATTAGAAAACAAACTCGGATGACGTACCAAAATTTTGACAAAAACATCTTCAATTTTTTTTTTAATAGTAGAGAAAAGGCCTCCATCCCAAATTATAGGGCGCCTCCTTTTTTAGAAAAATCAAACTTGATAACTTTTGACTAATGATCATACTAACCATATATATACTAAGTATTATACATGTTATATAATTAGATTCATATTTTGATGTACTTTCTTTTTATGCTAATTTCATATTTATAGGAAACCTAATATAAAATAAATTAATGGTCACAGTGTGTTATTGAAGACCGTGTAAAAAAATATAAACCTAAATTATAATTTAGGATGGATGGAGTATAATTTAAGTACTATAGAGAGTTCTTCAATTTTGACACCATTCTTCTCATATACTAGATAATAACCCGCGCTTTGCTGTGAGATATATATTAGATAGTAAAGAAATAATAAAATGATTTGGATTGTAATATTATGAAAATGATTTGAGAATGATGATTTAGCACGTGTATGTTTAGTTTTAGAATTGAAATAAATTATAGATATAATTATTATATGCTTGCATGTTGAGCTCTGTGTGCTTAATGGGTCGATGTGGCATGCTTGCATGTAGGTTTTAGGAGAGCCAATAAATACTATGCTTGAACGTTGAGTTTTATGTGTTTAGGGCAGGTGTTATAGAAGATGTGACTACCACCTTCAAATTTATCTATATCATTCACTCATAAACTAATAGATAACTCATGCAATAAAACACCTCTAGTACACAAATACCAACGTCTCTAATACTCTCACACTCTTCTTAAAATTTGTGTGGAGGTTACCTCTTGATTTAGGGGTAGCTCATTATCTCTCTCCTCACTTCTCTACTCCACCCTCATCACTTAATTTAATTTAATGTGCCATTCTTAGGGACAGCATATGAAGCATTATACTCAGCTTTTTGCAAATGATTATTTGAAGGGTGCAGAGATATTTTACAGCAGTATTGAATTGTGCTACTATATATAACTCACAGATCTCGATCATGAGGCCATGGGTCGGCAGTGCAATTGAGTACATCAGGGGAATTTTTACTACGCCATCTCGATAATTATTTCTAAATCTAAACTTTTTTACTACGCCACCCCGTATGACAGTACGAATTAATATTGTCACATCACCTACAGTCGACATGTCAGTTTTTGTTTTGCTACTATGCTTTGCCACTACGCTCTTACTTAATTCTAAACTTTTTCTTCAAACTTTTAACTTTTCCATCACATCAAAACTTTCCAACACACACAACCAAATTTTTCATCACATCGTTCCAATTTCAACCAAACTTCTAATTTTGGTGTAAACTAAATACACCCTACAATGTGGCTAGAGTAGAAATAAGTTTTGAAAGTTTTGAAATAAGTTTTGAAAGGGTTTATTTTAAAAAATAAAAATAAAAAAGGTTAAAAAAATTAAAAAGTCTTCAAGGAAGTGCCGCAATGTTAAGGAAGCCCTATTTTGAAGGCAGTACTTCCTTCTCATTATTTTCTGCTTCCCTTGCCCTATTTTCTCCCTAACATGTGGCCCATGAACAGTAACATGTGGCCCATGAACAGTGTGTGCCATCTACTAGAAAATAATGAGAAGGAGAAGAAAAGATGCCCAGGTTGCCAGGTGCTATATTTTTTTACACTGTACGAACGTAGATATTTATATACATGCCCACACACTCACCCATGCATATAAACGCATAAACACGTACCTACCTCTTTAATTACCCCCGAGAGATTACGTTGGAATATATAGAGAGATGATGTTACCACTTATGTCTTATTATTGATTGATACGTTGCCTACAAATAAAAAAATAATTGCTCATAAATGTAAGCATATGTGTCAAGGTTAGAACTTGACACCAGATGAATAGGTGCTATCATAACAAACATATATAACCAACTGAACTTCGTTCAGCTCGCATGCAGGTGCACATTATTGTTTTGGACTTTTGTAGGAATGGATTTGAGGAAAAATTAAATTGAATATTTTACTATAGATTTTAATTTAATTATGAAATTTGGTTCATGGGGATATTGGGGATTGTTATCCAAGGTATAGGAATTAGAGCTTAGGCAACAAATTTGGACTGAACTAAAATTTGAAATTCAATGGAATTTGTAATCAGGAATACTGGAAGGGAAAAAAGAGGAATTGATTGGGAAATTATTTCGGACCGAAATTTCGGTCGTATCAAGCCTCCCCCCCAATAGAAAGTGCTCGTTCAATATATATATTGAACCCTGGTTAGTATGCAAGGTTTACTTTTTTATTTGGTTGGGTGAGTGGGATGATCCAATTTTATGTTTGGTTTGAGCCATAAAGGTGAATTTTTTTATGCAGTTTTTTTTAGTTGAAGGAAGTAAGGTGCATGAGCTATTGTGATCACTCTGGTGAGAATACCCCTTCACTTCATATATCTCACTGATAAAGACTGCCTTAACTCAAGCAGGTTGGGCAAACTATCAAAGCGAAGAATTCTTTCGGATCTTACGTAATAAAAGATACATGAAATATCCAAAGATTAGTATATCGTTCATAAAATGAAAAATCAAAGATTAGCCGGGGCTGCCTACGGCTCGGGCGCCCGACATCATGCCGATGTCAGCGCCCGATTTACGTACAAAACTACTTTAAACTGATGTTTCTCTTAAATTACTTATCCAAATCATGATCTGATTACACCATTAAATTCGTTACAATTAAATCTTCAAAACAAGACCACACATGGATATATTCCGATGAAAAAATAGCTTATTATTGATTTTTTTAAATGTTGCACGATGTTCCACCAGGTATATCGGAATTGTTTCACTAAGTAGATCGAAAATGTTTCACTCGTTGAAATTAGGTGCTGTTTCAACTTATATAA